CAGGCTCAGCTCAGCCAGGTGGGTGTGAGCGGGTGTGCAGAGCCCAGCTGCCTCACAGCTCTGCCGTAAGAATTCGTACCTTCAATGCAGCGCTTCTCATGCCTGTATCTGCATTGTGCCACATGTCACTGCTCAGAGGGACAACCTGGAGTCCTCGCTGGCTGAGACAGAATGTCGCTACAACAACCACCTTGCTGAGCTGCAGAGCCAGATCACGTGCGTGGAGCAGCAGCTGGCTGATCTGCGTGCAGAAATGGAGTGCCAGAACCAGGAGTACAAGATCCTGCTGGACGTCAAGTGCCGCCTGGAGCAGGAGATCCACACGTACCGCTGCCTGCTGGAGGGCGGGCAGCAGGACCTGCTGTAAGTAGGCTTGAGACGCGCCGAACGGTACAATAAAATACCTGTGTCCTGGGCATTTTAACGAAAAAGCAAAGTGAGCAAGAGGTGGAGGTGCTGCACAGCTCCCTCGCTCTCACTGACCCGTTCTGGCTGCCCGGCAATGGACGGGGACCGTCGGCCATCGCCACCGAGAGAACGGTCACGGCAGCGTTCTGCCCAGTTTGTGCCCAAGAGGGAAACAGACTGAGAGCAGCAGGAGCAATGAACCAACTGTAGTTCTAGTTTATCTGTCATTTCCTTCACCAAAATGTTATCTTCCTGTTCCTTAGTCAGCAAGGAGGAATTGGTCAGTCTTCGGGTCTAGGAGGAGGAGTTGCAAGAACGAGTGGAATAGGAGGAGGAGGGATCATTAGAACAAGCCACACTTACACGTCATCGGCCCAGATGCCATCCTGTGCGGCTGCCGAGATACAAGGTAAGGCCTGCAACGCTCGACAAGATGTCCACAGTCTCTGTCCTAATGCAACAAGGACAGGCAGCAACAAAGATCTTTTCCACGCAGCTTACAGGCGCTATCTGAAAGTTTTATTGTGAGACTCTGCTGGGAAGCATGAGAACGGCCAAAAGGGAGGAGAGGGAAGGGGGACCGAAAGGAGAAGGAGAGAGTCAGGAAGCAGGAAAGCCACAGAGAACGTGGAGAAAGGACTATATGAAATCTGGGACAAAGGAAGGAAAGGAGAAAGCAGAGTGCCCAGAAATCAGGAAAAAATAAAAGCAGATAACTACCAGAATTATTTCAGGGGGAAGCTTCCAGACAAACTGAAAAAGAAAAAAATAAATATGGCAACAGCTGGTCCAGGAGAACGAGTGTGAGTAGAGGCACGGTTCTGGCAAGGCCCCTGACGCCGTTCCCTGATCCAGATTGCTGCTGGTGCAATGGCTGCAGCTTCCACCATTCGGCGTTTTCACGTGGACGGACAGACCATGCTCCAGCCAGCTCCAAACCCCATCCGCCTGACGGGCAGGCAACAATCAGGCCTTTGCAGGGACAGTATTTGTCTGCAACGGTGATTGAACTGGCTTGTGAAATGATCACGTGTGTAGAATGACAGTGTGGGAAAGAATCTATTTTTTGCCATAAACAAAGTAATGTTTCCTTTGATCTCTCCAGTGCCTTGCAGAAGGATTTGTGATTAAGCAGAGAAATGAGAATATCCAACGAGAGAATCCTGAAGCAGAGCCACGGATAGAGAATATTTACCGTATGCCTCTGCAAAGGGCAGGGAGCGTGCTCCTCTGTATTACTCAGCCATGCTAAGCAACGCGTCAGAGGGATGAGCAGAGCGCTGGGCCACATTCTGCTTTATTTTGCTATTTGCCTTTTCCAGTCTGTGTTGCTGCGTGTGCCCAGCCACCGTGACTATTGCTGGTGTTACCCAGCAGCACGATCACTCATGTACCTGTTGGTGAAAACATTTCTCTAATAAAACTTTGCTTCTGCCTGATGCAATCAAGAAACCTGTCTGTGGAAACTGAGTTCCTTTAGAAATCAGCTGCCGATCCATGCACAAGGGCCACCTCAGGCGGTCAGGGTCGCACCCCACGGGGAATAAAGGTGCTTTGCCAGCGGGAGCCAGAGAACGGCCTCGCTGACGGAGCAGGGCTTCTCCCCCCTCACTGCCCGTTCCTGCCTGACACCCCCCGATCGACACCCCGCAGCCTCACCAGGCAGGTCCCCGGGTGCTCCCGCAGCCCCTTGTGCTCAAACACCGTTTCAGAGACACTGTGGATGCCAGGGATGGAGCTTCTGGAGCCAGAGTGCCCGGGCTCAGCCGGGTGCTGACCCAGCTGGGCTGTGCCCTCGCATCCCGCGTCCAGCCTGGGCACTGCGATTCGGCTGAGGAGGAGACCAAGGTCTCCACGACTGATTCGATTAAGCTGACATGGTCTCTGCTGACCTGTCCCTTTCATTTGATAGGAATCTTCCCACTGGTCAAAGGCCTTCCCGTTGGAGGCAGAAGGTTTCTCTCCTGTCTCTTTTCACACCGTGACCGAGTCATTTATGGCTCATCCCTCTGTTCCAAAGAGTTTCAACCTGAACATCAGGAACCGCAGAAGGATCGTACGTTAAACACACCTTCTTTGGAGAAGTGGACAGGGCAGGAGGGAGCTGAAAAAGTGCAGCTCAGCAGAGAATTTGGTGGAGAAAAAGGCAGCCAGGGCCTTCAGATACACAGAGCCATTGTGTCCCAAGCAAGGCAGAGGTCCCTCCCTGCTCTGGGCCTCCAACAGCAGCCGTGTAGCTGGTGCTGAGTCAGCGTGGACCGGCACGGTAGCGTGCGTGCGTCCTGATGCTGACACGCACGGAGACGCGAGGGCAGCGGTTCGGTAACTCCGGGCCCTGGAGCACTTCTGGTGGGTGCAGCCATGGGAACCGGCCGTGGTGAGCTCACGGAGTCATTCCGGGCTTGGAGAGTTTTCAGTTAAAAGCCATCATGAGCTGCAGGGTGCTTTGAGGATTAAAGTGTCTGTTGGTCCAGAAAACCAAGCAGTGATGGGTTTTAGAGGTCCACTCCACCCTGCAGGTTCCCAGCTGGAACGGGGTGCGGCTGCGGTAGGCGCTGGCACGCTGCGATGTGGCTGCTGCAGGAGAGTCCTGCTCACTTAGAAGCTCAATTATTGATGTATCGGGGGGCAGGTGAAAGGTGCCCTTCTCCTGGTGTAAAAGACCATGGAGAGGAGATGTCTCCATGGTATTTCTTTTATTTCATCTACCAGACACTAAACCCCACAATATCCAGGGGCTGGAGCAAAATAAGAAAATGCAGCGCTGGCACACCTGCACTGACGGCTCTGAAGAGTGGCCATAGGTAAAGGTTCTGAAACCAAGACTCTAAATCACGTCTTATTTCAAGACAGGTTCCAGCCCTACAGAAAGTCCCAGACTTGATGCAGAATGTCTCTGCAGACATGAAAGGCTGGTGCTTCACAAGAGAACAAAAGAAATACTTATCAGGGTTATAATGGCAAATTTCCACTGGTTGGACTCCCCTGTGCAATCCCAGTTGTTCTCAGAGCTTGGGCTGAGAAGAAGCTGGAAAGCAAACCTTTCCCTTTTCCTTTCCCACTGCCTTCTCCTGCCCCGTTCAGGGCAAAGACAGGCAGTGAGACAACCCCCTGCTGCCCTTTCTGGCCTCAATCCTTCCTCGTCTACCAGTCCTCATGCTCTCATTTCTAAAAATACAAAGATCCTGTATTGATACTCTTCCAGTTTTCATTCTTCTGGAAACTCTAGGCTGCCTCCAACCCATAAAAGCTCCCTGCTTTCTGCTGGCAGTCCCGGCTGTTTCCCACCAGGTCTGGGCCAGTTTCCTTCTCCTGCAAACTGCTGCTGACATCTAGCTGCTCCACCTGCTTCCCCGTGCTCCTATCAAAGCCTTCCCACCCTTCCCACCAGGTCCGGCGGGTGCAAAGCATGCTCCTTCCCAAAGGAGCTGTCCTAGATTCCAGAGAGGTGAAAGAGACCTAATGACATGGCCAGAAGGACTCCAATGATCGACTTCATGAACATGCCCCTGGAAAGCCCCCGGGGGGTACAGACTCAGCTCCTGAGACACTGTGATGTTGTTTGTGGACCTACAAGTTGGGATGTGTCTGGAAAGCATGAGAAGGCAGCTTGTGATAAACAGCTCCCCAGCAGAAAACACCCTGGAAACAACCCGTTTATTAAAGAGCTGCAAATTATGGTGCCGCAAAGCTTGGGCTGGAAACTACATTTCCATCAGATTTCCATATTTTTTTGTGCTAATGAGACAGACCCAGGAAGCTCATGAGTTCAAATAACCGAATGAAAACAGCAGGGAAGGCTTAATTTATTTTTTAAGGTCTTCAGAACGATTATTTACTTTTATCTGAGCTTAACTAGTGCACCCATTTCCTGAAGACAAAAAGGAAAAACAGCAAGAAAGAGAGCAAGTGTGTGCCACGCAAGGGTCCTGGGCAAAGGCGCCTGCCGAAGGCCGTGGCAGAAGGGGGTGGGTCTGATGGACAAAGCTGCAGGGGGTCCCACGGGGGGCCGAGGGATCTCAGGAGAGCAGGAGCCATCCTCTCTGGCCTCCGCAATAACTGCCGCAAGAGGCACGTAGACATCCTCCACTCCCACAGAGGGGTAAGGCATCCCATGTTTCTGCCTGCGTTCTTCTGATGTGCTAAAATGATAACTGTGGAGCAGAGGAATGTGCGCTCCCTCAGAAAAGATGCTTGCTGCAGACAGCTGTTGGGAAACTCCTGAAGAATCATCCCCAGGACCGGCAAAGCTTCAAGCGATGCAATATTACATCAGTTTCGGCTCATTCTTGCCACCACACCCTGACTCCAATTATGTTCTCCAGTCCTAGTAACGAAATTCAAGTATTCCTTCCCATACATGGCTTTTACCCATTCTGAGCTTTGCTCCTTGGTGTTGAGGGACTGAGTGGAGCACAGCTGGGAGGGGAGGGCAGGCTGGTGTTCAGGCACTGCCGTTCGGTTCAGCCCAGCCAGGTCCAGCTGCAGACCGAGTAAAGCACTCGAAGCAAGTCTCTCCACACCTCTGTCTCCAGCCTGCTGGATGTCACAGGAACGCTGCTGGCTTCCATTGTGCTGGATAAGCAACATCCAAGGATGCAGAGATAAGGGGATGATCTTTTCAACAGAAATAAGGAGGGTAAGAGTGATGAAAGGATGGGCAAATCCATGAATACCGGGATAATTCAGCCCTTCAGTAAATGGGATGATTTACCTGCCGTAATAATAGCTATTCCAGTGCAGGGTCCTGACACAGAGTGAGGATTTGAGCAAGAGTTGGATCTCACTCGTTCCCCGGTGAAGCAAGCTTGGAGAATTTCTTACAGTGAGCGATTAGTTCCAGAAAGCTGTGGAATGCCTGCAAAAGAAACCGGCTGGCCCAGAGAGGAGGCCATTGCTCTTAAGTCTGAGCAAAACATCTCACGAAAATGAGCTCAGCCTGAGCTTTGTTGTCAGAAGAGTGAAAGGATTCTTACTTTGTAATTTCTCTGCCTAGTTGAGATCTGGAGACATTAGTGATAGAGAAGAACCTCTAGTTTGTATTTCATCCACCTTCCTCAAGCCAGTGTAGGACTGGTGTGGGCAACGATCGCTCTGCCAGCTTTACCAGCAATTCTGCCGCGGTGTTTCCTGGGACAGTAACGCCAACCAGAGTGCAGCCCATACTGCCAGAGCCCTTTGCCCATAGGATGTTTCCTCTCCCACCCACTGTTTCCAAACACCCCCCTTCCCCGCCAACAAGCGCTATCCATAAGGATGGAAACTGCAGAAATATCTTTCACTGAACAACAGGAAATATTTAAAGTACTTCTACCTTCCCCTACGCTCTCCACATAAAGAACAAATCCCTCATGAGCTGCTGGAGAGCCCTGATCATCTATGAAGAACCTTTCCTCCGTGTCCATTAAGAGATCACTCCACAGCCTCACTCGTCTCGTAGCCGAGTGTCTGGGGCTGACACTCTGCCAACGGAGAGACTTGCAGGTTAATCTCTGTCTCTCTGATCTTTCCACAGAGTTCTTACATCATTCCTCATACATCATTCCAGAGACAAACTTCGTATTTAGTCTTTCTTTTTCATCTGACATATTCCAACATCAGCACCTTGCACGAAAACTGCTTATTCAACTCAAAATAAAATGAAAATAAATTAATGAGAGATAAAGAGCCCTTTGATGCAATAACCTTTAATGATTTCTTCCTGGTATGTAATTTAGGACAGTGTTTTTCCTGGCTTAATGCTGTAAAGTTTGCATCATAAACAAAAAGCTGATGATTCATAAAACATTATTGCTAATGCATTTTTGAAATTAGCAAGAGACATGTAAAGTACCTTCCTTGTCGACCAGGATTCTTGAAAGGAAACTTCCCTTTGAGAAATTATTCTTGGCACCAATGGCTGGAGTAGCCAGCCTTATGGGAAGAAGAGACAGAGGTGACACCCACTGTGGAAGGTATAAATAGAGTTCCGCGGCAGCGGACAACTCGCAGTCTGATTTAATATCAAGCTGTGCATCTTGCTTTGGGCTCCTGCTTGCATTTCCAGCTGCTGGCGCCATGAGTTGCAACATTAAGGAGACTATTACGGTGTCTAGCAAAGGCAGGAGCAGTGGTGGCAGCTGTATCATTGGTGGTGGTGGTGGAGCACGGATTTCTTCCTATGGGATAGGCAGTGGCAGAGGTTTTTCTGGAAGGAGTTACTGCGGTGGAGTGAATTATGGAGGGGGACTGAGTGTTGGTAGCTTGGCTGGTGGGAGCTATGGAGGTGGCAACTGCTATGGCAATGGCCTGGGCTTTGGCCTCGGAGGCGGTGTGGTCGTTGGTGGTCTTGGTGGCGACTGTTTGCTTTCATCCTGCGATGAGAAGGTCACCATGCAAAATCTCAACGACCGCCTGGCCTCCTACCTGGACAAGGTGAAGTGCTTGGAGAAGGAAAACGCTGAACTGGAGTGCAGGATCAGGGAGTGGTACGCGACCCAGGGCCTCTCCTGTGAGCCCCGGGACTACAGCTGCTATTACAAAGAAATCGAAGATCTTCAAAATCAGGTAATCCTCTTTTCCATTTGTTCCTCCTCTATTTAAAACTGATTCCTGCATTTGTGTTTAGAACCCCCTGCAATTGTTAGGGGTAACTTTGGTGCTGTTCAGTGTCTTTGCAAACACACACGTTGGCAGGTTCCCCCATGGGTGCACACTAAAGATGCATGCTGCAAGTGATCCAGGCGGGACAGTGCTCTTAAAGAGGAAAAGGATCCTTTGTTGCATTGTGTTTTGACCATACTATTATAATATCAGCAAGTGTGCTCTGAGGAAACGTAGTGGTGTCAGCTGTACCAAAGGAAGCACTGCAAATTCTAGGTGGGAAAGGTTCTGTGTTTAAGATTGATTGCTGCAGTGGCACAAAGAGCCTGATCCTCATATATCCACAGTGAGAGTTACGCCTGATCTGAAGGCTTAGAGAGACCTTCCAGCTGTCTTCCCTGAAGAACCTTAAGCTCGAAGCCAAGAACACGGCAGCCTGAGTGCCCGCGGAGGCTGACTGTCTCAAGGAAGGTTCTTTCGGTGGTTCACTTCTTTGTGAAGCATTTTCAGAGCCTGCCTTCAGACCTCGAAACTGGGAAGTCCCAGCTCCCAGCTCTTTAACTGCCAACCCCTGCACAGCCAAGCTCTGTTCCTCACTGGCTGTGAGTGCCGCAGGCAAAGCCCCCTCCTGCAGCTGCTCTGCTCAAGGAACAGGGTCACCCAAGGAGGAAGGAGCAGAAAAAGGCAGTTGTGCAGACTTGCACCTAGCTGCGACCTAGACACAGCCCTGGACTGTGCCAGCAGAGAGAAGTGCCGCATCTCTCACGGTCTGCTCTTTTCCAGATTGTCTGCGCAACCATCGATAACAACAAGATCATCCTGGACATCGACAACAGCAGGATGGCCGCTGACGACTTCCGCGTGAAGTGAGTGCCCCCCGTGCAGGCAGCCCCCCGGCCCCTCCCTGCCCCTTCGCCTCTCGCTCTGGAGTCTCGGTGCGCTAATTAGAGACTCCGACGAGTTTCTCTGCAACACCACATTAGGGCAGGATGGAATGATGAAACTCATTTTGCTCTTGGTCAGCAGCCCTCCCTTAATTAGTATTTTCAGGTAAAACTTTGGCAACAGCGTTTGTTGGTGAGGGCTGGGGACCACAGCGGAGGGAGTGGTCCTTGGTGGTGTCGCTGGCGCATTCCCATCACAGACCAGTGCAGATTGGGATCAGCAGAGCAGAAATGCAGCTGAATAAGCGGCACCAAACATACAGTCATCAGGAGCAGGAAAAAAATAGATGAGGAAGAAAAGCTTTCACATAACAGGCGTGAACGGCCGTGCAGAGAGCTGGTGCAGGGTGCGTTCAGCTTAGACCACAAACACTGCTCCGAGCAGGCAGGTGGGGAAGGAGATGCAGCCGGTCTGAATTTCTGCTTTCTTGCACAAACCAGGTACGAGACGGAGCTGGCCCTGCGCCAGAGCGTGGAGGCCGACATCAACGGCCTGCGCCAGGTCCTGGATCAGCTCACGCTCTGCCGGTCTGACCTGGAGGCACAGCTGGAGTCGCTGCGGGAGGAGCTCTGCTGCCTGAAGAAGAACCACGAGGAGGTAGGTCCTGCCCCTCTCCTGCCACGAGCGTTAACTCCTGCAGGATCCAGCACCCTCCCCTCCGGGGTCCCCACCCCTGGGACTCCTGAGCTGGGGAGAGGGGCGCTGCCAGGGGCTCTGCTCTTCCCTGCACAGGAACTGAGCTCCCTCGGGTTTTGCCTCCTTTTAACAAAATGACATGATCTGGTGGTGTTTCCAGGAGATGAACTGTCTGAGGAAACAATCGACTGGAGATGTGAGCGTGGAGGTCAACGCCTGCCCTGGGCCAGACCTCAGGAAGATCCTGGAGGAGATGAGGTGCCAGTACGAAACCCTGATTGAACGCAACCGCAAAGAAGTCGAGGATTGGTACGAGTGCAAGGTGGGTGAATGTGTGCAGCTCTGAGCTTCCCAGGCTAACAGCAGGCAGCGGTTCCACAGGGATTCATTACACGTTCAAACCACACAACACCCTAGACCAGCCTTTAGCACCGGTTAAATCGAGCAGGTGGCACAGGGGATGCTGCCGCTCTGAGACCCGAGGCAGGAACTCTTTCCAAAGCAGTAACAGTGAGAAGAACTGGACAGCAGGACTGTTAGGAGAGCAAGAGGAATGATGAGCGGGGTTTACACTCCGTTAGGATGAGAGAGCTCACCCAAACCTTTCTCATTCCATGTATTTTGCTGGATTCGCTGCCCTTTCCTTAATACTTAATCTGACTTACATTAAACATTCCCTGAACACCTGCATTCTGGTGATTTTCAGATTGAGGAGGTGAATCGGGAGGTTATTACAAGTGGTCAGGAGGTGGAGACGTGCAACAATCAAGTCACCGAACTGAGACGCCAATTGCAAGCCCTGGA